AAAGGAGTTAGAACGGCAACTGGATCAGATCTGGGTTCATGGCATGAAGTTATGGGTTAACAGTCCGAGGTATGATGTTGAAAAGATTAGAAGCAAGGAGAAAAGAATTAGGGGTGAAGGGACATCTCAGTTGCAAGCTCATAACTATGATGAGGCCATGGAAGGAAAAATCAGCCGAGAAAGGATGCCTCAGAAGCAAAACATAAGTTATGCTGAGGTGGTGAAAGAAAATCAGAGGGAAAGATTTTTTGAAGAAGATATCACTCAAAATTAGTCAATCTAGGAAAGAAGTAATAGTAGAATCAGATTCGGGCTTCATAATAGGGAGCCAAGGAAAAGATGGCAGGAGAAAGGAAGGGGAGAAGACTGGGTTGGGATGGAATATAATATCAATCCTGAAGAATATTCATGGCTCAATGGGTGTTATGTGGGCACAGTGCACTCAATAGATATGGTCCGCAATTTACAAGAGAAATTTTACATGGAAGGGTATTTTTCTTGTAAAATCTATGTGATGGGAGGAAGATTAGTCTTGTTGGACTGTGAGGACAAGGAGGAACTTAAGGATCTGGTGGAGATGGCAACATAATGGCTAGGGCAATGGTTTGAAAAGGTGCGCCCTTGGACACTTGAAATAGTTGCTAATGAGAGATTTGTATGGGTGAGATGTCAAGGGGCACCGTTGAACGTCTGGGGAGTTGATTTCTTCTAAAAAATGGGCAGTTCATGGGGGAAATTCATTTGCTTGGATGATAGTACAAGCAAAAAGAAGAGATTTGACATTGTTAGATTTTTAATATCCACCCCGATTCCAAACTCAATTTCAGTCTTGAGGCAAATCAAGATTAATGGGATCATTTACAGCATTAAATTCACTGAGGAAGAGTTCACTAATAGCTTCTTTTCATTGAAGCAAGACTTTATGCCTTCTTTCCAAAGTGATTCAGAGGAACAGGAGATGTGGCCAACTGAGAGTGAAATGGAAGAGTAGAAATCCGAAAATGCAGGGGAAGAGTTGCAGGATGAAGCAGAAGGTTGCCAGGAAGAAGATGATGACGTGGTGAGAAGCTTTGGGGAAAAAGAGCGAACGGCTCACTACCAAAAAAGACAGGAAATTCAGAAGTCAGCAGAATTGGTGGAAGACAGCCTGGAACAAATTCAAAATTTGAAAATAGTGGGAAGAAATAGAGGGGCAGAGACGGAGATCAAATATCAAGGGAAGCTGTCATCATTAACGAGCCCTGAAGGGGAGAAGGGGGCGGATTTGGGCTCTAAAAAGAATGATCCAGCATGCATGAAGCCCATGAGACAGGAAGAAAGCTTAGAGTGTGTGGAGTCTACTAATATGGGCTTGGCCCAAGGCAACTTGGGGGTAATTAAATCAAAAGCAAAGGGTATTATGGATTTTTCCAGAGTTAAAGACACTGCAAAGGATAACACCGAGGAAGATGCAGATCTGGTCTGGAAAGGATATGAGAGTGAAAGTGGAAGCATGTAGAGAGGGATGAGTAAGCTAAGCGAAGGAATCACCAAAAGGAAGGGGTAGCGGGTAAGAAATTGCAGCTCTGTCTATTTAAATGCACGTGAATTGGACAGTGAAAGAGGGAGAAGCCGAGGCCGAGGGAGAAGCCGAGGCCGAGGAAGGGGTAAGCAGAACGGATTGTCAAGGGTGAGAAGTTCAATGCCAGATTTTATGCCGAGCCTGAACGGAAAAGTTGCAGGAGACTCTGTAGGCGATTCCGAGATCCATCATTGCAACAAGGCTCTAAAGAACAAGATGCAGATCAGATTTGCGAAAGAAATATGGGAGCTTGCAAAGCAATTGGGGGCAACGACAGAGGATGAGGAGGAGATAATTCGGAGGATTGAAGAGATGGAGAACAGAGATAGACAAGGAAAAGTGATCGCGGGAAACCAAGGGGAAATCGGTAGCAATAAGGTATGTTCAGTCCTTAATGATAATTCTGTCTTTTAATATTAGAGGACTTGGTGGGGTCAGGAAAAGAAGGCAAATTAGAGAAATTGTTTTGAAGGAAAGGTTAGAGTTTTTAGCAATTCAAGAGACGAAAATGGAGATTATTGATAGAAACTTATGCCGAAGAATATGGGGGTCAGAGAACTTAGATTGGGTATCTAAATCTTCTAACGACTTGTATGGTGGCTTATTGTGCATCTGGAATTCTTATGTATTAAAAAAAAAGAAGAAGTTTTAGAAGGGGATAATTTTATTGGGGTGTATGGAGTATGGGGGGAGGAGGAAACTCCAGTATTCATTTTAAACATTTATTCCCCTTGCTTATTAACGGGAAAGAGAGCTTTATGGGAGGAACTGCATAACCTGATTATAAGCAAAAAAGGTTGCTGGTGCTTGTTAGGAGATTTTAATTCAGTTAGAAGAGCAGAGGAAAGGGTAGGGTGTAAAGGGGTGTCCAGAGAAATGAAGGAATTTGATGAGTTTATTCTAAGATCCGAATTGATTGATTTGCCTTTGTTGGGAAGGAAGTTTACTTGGTACAATTCCAATGGACAACAGATGAGTAGAATAGATAGATTCCTGGTTTCAGAAGACTGGTTTTCCAAATGGAGTGATATTAAGCAGTGGGGGTTGAGGAGAACAGTATCAGATCATTGCCCAATCCTATTGAAGAATGAGAAGGTAGATTGGGGCCCAAAACCTTTCAAATTCTTCGATAGTTGGCTGGAACAACCAGGATGTAAAGAGTTAATTACAAACTCGTGGAAAACCACAGAAGTAAAGGGGTGGAGTGGCTTTATTCTTAAAGAAAAATTGCAGAGAACAAAGAAAGTCCTGAAGGAGTGGAGTGCTAAGTCGGTGACTGAGATGGACAGAAGAATAAAGGATGCTGAAAACATGATAGCCGAGATAGATGAGAAAGGAGAGATTAATCAGCTAGCCACAGATGAGATTGAATTGAGGAGAAATAGCTTTCTTGATTTATGGAAGAATTCAAGAATCAAGGAGAGGATGTCGCAACAAAAATCAAGGAAGATGTGGCTAAAAGAAGGAGATGCGAATACAAGATTCTTTTACAATTGCATCCAAGGAAGGAGGAGAAGAAGTGAAATTAATTCTATACAGATAGATGGTGAACAGTTCACGGGAGTGACAGAAATCAAAGAAGAGGTGGCTAGGTATTTCCAATCATTGTTCACAGAAGAAAGATGGAAGAGACCAAAGTTAGATGGGGTTAGTTTCAAGCAGATTTCACAAGAGGACAACGAGCTTCTCACGAAAGTATTCTCAGAGGAGGAAGTTAAAGAAGCAGTATGGGATTGTGATTCTGCCAAATCTCCAGGCCTAGATGGATTCAACTTTAGATTCATTAAGGAAATGTGGGAAGTTATAAAGCCGGAGGTAGTTGCTTTCATTCAGGAGTTTCACAAACATGGTAGAATTGTCCGTGGAGCCAATGCATCCTTTGTTGTGTTAATCCCAAAGACAGAAAACCCCCAAAGAATTGAAGAGTATAGACCCATTTCTCTTATAGGGGTCATGTACAAGATCATAGCAAAGCTGTTAGCGAACAGGCTACGAAAGGTGCTACCCAAAGTCATCGGGGAGCAGCAGATGGCATTTATTGGGGGTAGACAATTAGTAGATGGGGTTATCATTGCAAATGAAGTCATAGATGAGGTTAAAAGGAAGAAGAAGAATTGCTTCATTTTTAAAGTAGACGTTGAGAAAGCCTATGACAAAGTATGTTGGGAATTTTTGGATTACATGATGATGCGGCTGGGATTTAATGAAACATGGAGGAGATGGATATTGGAGTGCCTAAAGTCAAGTTCGGTTTCTGTTCTTATAAATGGTAGTCCAACAAGTCAATTCTCGGTTAGCAAAGGCATACAACAAGGTGACCCGTTATCGCCATTTCTCTTATTGATAGTGGCAGAAGGGTTGAATGGCTTAGTGGCCTCGGCAGTGGAAAAAGGAATATATAAAGGAGTGAGGGTAGGGAATGAAGGTGTCATGGTGTCACATCTACAATTTGCGGATGATACGGTATTCTTCGGGGAGGCATCGGAAGATAACATAAGAGTGGTGAAGACTATTATGAGGCTCTTCGAGCCGGCTTCAGGACTTAAGATCAATTTTGGGAAAAGCCATTTGATGGGGTGGGAGTAGCAGAGAGTTGGCAAACAGAAATGGCATATAGATTGCATTGTAAAGAAAGGGAACTCCCATTTATATACCTGGGAATCCCAATAGGGGGGAACAACAGAAGGAAATCAATGTGGCAACCAATGGTACAATCAGTTGAGAGGAAACTAGCTAGTTGGAAGGGCAGATACCTTTCTATGGGAGGTCGTATTACGCTAATCAATTCAGTGTTGTCTTCTTTGCCCGTGTTCCTAATGTCAGCCTATCTAATTCCAAAAGGTACACTCCTCTCAATCGATAAAATACGTAGACGTTTTTTATGGGGTGGGGGGGCAGAGGAGAGGAAAATAAATTGGGTAAGTTGGGGGGATGTATGTAAAAGTAAAGATGAGGGAGGGCTGGGAGTGAGAGATTTGAGAAATTTTAATTTGGCAATGATGGGGAAGTGGTGGGGACGGTTAGCAAAAATTGATGAAGGACTATGGATGAAAATAATATCAGCGAAATATGGTAAGGGTGGGAAGCATTGGATGGATTGGATTAAAGATAACAATAGAGGGGGATCCTTATGGTGGAGAGATGTGTGCTGCCTAGATCGAGTGAATGAGGAGAGTGTAGGATGGCTGTCGGAGGGTTTTAGAATGAAAATTGGGGATGGATATATAGCGAGCTTTTGGTGGGATGATTGGGGAGGGGAGGGTTGCCTTGCTAACAAATTTCCTAGGTTGTATAGTCTGTCAACAGGAAAAGAGAAAACATGCAATCAAATGGGCAACCTAAGGAGTGGATCGTGGGAATGGAAGTTATCATGGAGGAGAAATCTATTCGAATGGGAACCTGGAGAGGTCATTGATCTCGAAAGAATGATAGAGGGCATTAAGATTACTCAAGGTTGGCCTGACAAGTGGGAATGGATTCACGACAAGGAGGGTCAATACTCAACAAAATCAGCATACCACCTATTAGCAACTGATCAAAGCGGACCTAATGGATCTACAATTTTCAAAAGAACATGGAACACAATTCTCCCGACCAAAGTATCAGCATTCAACTGGCAACTAATGTTGGATAGAATACCAACCAAGGTGAATTTGTTGAAAAGAGGGATTATTAAAGACATGGAGGAGAGCAAGTGTGTTGTATGTGAAGAACAAGGAGAGGACTCAGCACATCTATTCTTAAGGTGCAAGCTAACTCGATGGCTGTGGGAGGCATGCGCCAAATGGTGGGGGGTCGAGGCAAAACTCGACATCGACTGTTCAAAGACATTTGAAAATTTTGGAGATTGGAGCAAAGAGGCACGAACAAGACAAGGATGGGATTGCATATGGAGTTCGGTTGTGTGGACTGTGTGGCTTGCTCGCAATCAGAAATTTTTCCAGCATAAAGAGATAAATGCGAGGAAGCTGTTTGAATTAATTCAATTGAGATCTTTCATATGGATTAAAGCAAAAAATGACAGGTACGCCTTCACTTTATCTGATTGGCTACTCAATCCTGTTGAATGCATGAAAGATAGATGTGGAAGAAGGAAAATCATCAATGGAAGGGCCGGCTGTAATGTAATGACTTCTTGATTGTTTTTTTTTTTTGTGAAATTGGGTTGAGTACCCCTTATACTCATTTAAATAATAAATAGTTTTTTGCTGTTCAAAAAAAAAAAAAATTCGGTTTAATCAAACATGCATCTGTTGTTCGTCCCACCATGATGAACCTTGAAATGAGTTTCTGGCCAGCACAGGGTATAGATTGGAGCCACATTTTTTTTTCTTTCTTAAAAATGATGCAAGTTGTAGAAGGACCAAATATGTTCAACGTTATACTCTGAAATTCTATTACCATTTATACATAAAGAAATATGCCGAAATACCTATGGATCTCTGCACATTATTATTATTATTATTATTATTATTATTACTATTATTATTATTTTATTTTATTTTATTTTTTTGCGAAATGTTTACTACCTTGGATCACTCGCCCTTGTTCATACGACTTTATTCTTTTGTGATTTGAGAAATGTGAACCTAATTCCAGACTTATTGTTGGCAACAACACCAAGCTAAGTAGTAATCAAATATTGAAAATGAAAGGTTGTTTTACTTGTTGGTCAAAAGCCCCCCCAAAGAAAAGGTAAATAAAAGCTTATTTTAGTTACATGCATCTAACTTTCAATTTTTAAAAAAAGTAATTAAAACTTGTACCATATAAAAAATAGAGATTAGTGAATATTAATTAAGGGATTAGTGTTTGTCCATTTTATCTCTGAAAAATTAGATTGAAAAAAGAT